GCTATAAAAAAAGAAAAAACTACAAAAAAAAAAAAATATAAATGAAAAAAATACAAAAAAAACAGAAACAAAACTTATGAAAAGTCCACAACATACGCAACAACCTTTATTTTATGATCAAATACCTGCTTATATGCATGAATATATAAAAGAAGTGATTAATGTAGACAGAGATGGCAATTGTGGGTATAGAGCAGTAGCCATGTGTTTAGGAAGAAACGAAGATAAGTGGTCAGAGATAAAAAAGGAATTATTGAATGAATTAAATGAAAAGGAGCAATTTTACCGAATGTTATTTCTAGCTAATGATGATTATGATATGATTATAAAGGAGATTTTTTGAAAGAGTGGTCCTTGTACATTCGAACATTGGATGAGAATGCCACAAATAGGCAATGTTATAGCAAATACCTATCAAAGACCGTTATACTTTTTCTCATTACAAATAAGCCTTATATTTCTTCCATATCACTATCCCTTGAACCGAAACGAAGCTCTTGCAATGGCTTTTATTAATGAAAATCATTATGTGGCATTAGTATTGAGACCTGGTACACCTGTTCCACTAATTGTTAATCGATAGTCCCAATTTGCCACTTTAGCTGCAATACGCTAGAAGTTATTGATCCAAGATCGTATTACACAATTTCTTTCAATAAGCGGTTCGACTAGCAAAACTGATCAAAAAAAAATAATTATACATTAGCTATATTTAAGTTTCATTACAAAATACTTGAATTCAGAATAATTTTATAAATACATATCTTAGTTATATATTTGATTATACTAATTTTATATGTCTAAGACTATACACAGTTAAAGATAAGGAATATAAAATATATGGAATGTACATGTAGTATTTGATAAGCTTATATGAAAGAAATAAAATTTATAGAAAAAGTAAGATTGTTTCACTTATACATATTTATATACGCTGTCCATAAGATCACATGATTTACTCTGTCTCTACTGTCCCTAAGATCTGTCTGTAGATTCTCCGCTTCCCCAGCATCGGTACTAATTTTTTTTTGATTACATAATACCGGGCAAAATTTTTCAAGTTCGTTAATGTTAGGGTTAGGGCCTATGACAAAGTTAGAGTTATAAGATTTTATAGTAAAATTGTTCAAAGAATTTTTTTTGTTAGAACATAAAAGGTTGTTTCTTATGTAAAATTTCAAGCTATTGACAATTTTTGAAAAAGTGAACGTTTGTTTTGATCTTTCTGATTGTGCTACATTATACCAAGGTGTAATCTACTATTGGATAATTTTCACGTAATCAAAAAATTTTGTTAGTAATTTAGTGGCAATGCTGGGGAAGTTCACAGCTGCAGTATATATAGAATCTCCAATAAAAATCAGAGTTGCATTGTAGAACCTTCTTATCAATCGACACTTTCTAAAATGATTTTATTCCACTTACTGTCACTATTTCTCCATTCATAAATTTTTTGCTTATTAAACAACTTTTATTAATCTTCTCTTAAAGAAAAATTTACATCAAAAACACGAAGATTTCTTCTATGTAAACGTTTTATATCCTTATTAGTAGCATAAAAATGGCAATTATCATAGAATTTTTGAAAACTTAAACTGCAATCTTTTTTCATGTAAAACAACTTCACAAATTTACATAGCTCTAGGCCTTTGGCAGTAAATTGATAGTCACAAAATTTATATTCTTCTTTATTGTCATCAGATTCATATAATCTTTCACATAGTAAAATAATGTAATCCATTTTTATAAATAATTTATACTCATAAATAAGCATAGTAAAAAATTCAATAAATTGTTTAATTCTATTAAATTCTATATTATAAGTATTATAATCTTTTATACATTTAGAAGTTTTGTCTATAATAATTAGTTTCACCATGTATCATATACTGGCAATTAACTGCTTATAAAGAAGTGAGAGAACATATTTCATGTGATCTTTAAACTTACTACTATCATAAATATTTTCAAATAAATCACTGCAAATTTTTAAAATTGAATCATTTATTTTATTAAAATTTTATTATATGAGTTTGTAACTGAAATTGGTTGTATATATTATAGAATGCTCAAATATGCTCAATCGAAATTTTATTTTTAAAATATACTGTATAGTGTTAAATTGCTTAGTGTTTAGATGTACAATTTATTAACAATTATAAACAGCTATACTGAAATTATTAGCTTTGTAATTGTGCTTTTATTCAAATAAAATTGACTTGACCAAAGTCAACTTATTATATTTAGTAGCTATTTGTTCTTTGCTTCAAATAGATTAGGTTAAGCTAGCTATTATTGTACTAAAAAATAACCTATAGCCAAAATAGCTAGTAAATCTAGCTAAATTTAAGCACAATAAACATTTTACAAAAATATTTAATTAAATTTAAACAAAAGACAAACCACATGTTTATTAAATACTATAACTTATCTTAGCATAAAAACAATGACTGAAAATAGTGTTTGACACAAATAGAAAAACCCTGTATATTATAATTTATTAAATTGTAATTGTTCTTGTTTCTAATATAATAATATTACAATTAATATCTATTTTTTTCATCAAACATTGCAGACAATTACCTATGCTTTAATATCCTTTTATTAAGTATTGCAAACAATTATCTACCTAAGTCTTTATAATAGCATATTTATTAACTATTTTTTATAAATATCAATTGTAATAGATGAAATACTAAATAAAATTTTTAACTTTTGAATTCTTTTAACCTGAGATTATACTATATACTTAA